GCCCGCGCCGCGCCTTCGAGGGCATCCGCCTGCGCTTTGAGAAGCAGCCGTCGGAGGAAGAGGAGTGGGCCATGCCCGCCAGCCCGCCCAGTCCCGAAGCGGGCACCATCCGCTGCGCATCATTCTGTGCGGGCTTCCCCATCCCGGAGTCCCCTGCAGCCAACGCCTATGCCCACGCCGAACACGCACAGTCCTGGCCATCCATCAACGTGAGTAGTGTGCTGCTTCGCTTAGCCTGGGCTCCTTGAGGTGCCGAGGACAGAGCCTGCCCCCGCTCTGGAGTCCCATCCTGTTGCTTATCTCACACATGGTAGGCGGGGCGACCCGCAGCAAACACACCCTAGCTTAGTATAGGCCTTCCTCCCCTCTCCCTCGGTTTCCAGTTGGTAGGAACAAGCCCTCACCCCCATATTAAAAGTATGGTCCTCAAAATGACAGTCCTAGCTTGATTCCGACCCCCCTGCTTAGTGTCTGAAAGACCGAATTCAAATTCTATCAGTTTCAGCAGCAGCAAAATGAAGATGGTGACGCTGTCACAGTAGGAGTTTTTAGGAGGCAATAACCCTAAAGCAGTGCTTGGGATGTGTGGCTCAATCATACTATTGTGTAGGATGTTGAAATGGGGCAGAACGTGGACCCACACAGGGCCAGGCCTTCCTATCAAGTTCCCCACTCCACACCTCAGATCCTGGGCTCTTTTCTGTCTGCCTTGCATGATTATAACCCGTTTCAGGGCTCCATCATTTTACTGAAATAATGAGTTTACTGAAAGGGCCAAAATATATTCCAAAGCCAGACAGGAAATGATTTTGAGGTTGTACATTGTTTGCCGTTGTCCAGTGCTTTCTGGAGGCATGTCAAGGTCTTGGTTTCCCTCACTACTGGTGTGCCCCAGCTAACTGAACAGTGGGTCTCATACACACTTTCGAAGACCTATGCCCTGGGCAAAGTACTAGGTGTTGGGCTGCTGGCTGTAGTGTGTGTTGAGAATGGTGCTGGAGAAAGGGTAGCCAGACCCCTTCTGCATGCCATAGGCCTCCCTCCCTGTTGTGGATCCTGGGAGACAGCAGGCTGGGATATGAGGCAGATTCTAAGTGGTTTCATTCTCTTCCTGCAGCTACTGATGGAGACGGTGGGCTCTGACATCCGCAGTTGCCCCCTCTGCCAACTGGGTTTCCCTGTTGGGTACCCAGATGATGCCCTCATCAAACACATTGACTCCCACCTGGAGAACAGCAAGATCTAGGGCACCTCTCCCCCAACTGGCTGTTTCTCTGCTCTCTCATCACCCCCCAGACACTCACTTTGAATGCTGCATGAATCTCGTGGGGGCCCTGTCCCTTGCGGTCCCCAGATACCTCCACTAGCTACCGAGTCAATGTGTGTGCCATCTTCCCTGGTCCAGGCACCACTCAGCTCTGGCTCTTTCCTGGAGGTTGACCAAGGCCTCTCCATTTTCCTGGTTTCCTCTGGGGAGTGGGGATCTGGTCTGGGATGGGGAGGACATACCCTCCACCTCTCTCCCCCCCCCTCTCTCTCTCTCTCTCTCTCTCTCTCTCTCTCTCTCTCTCTGCCTTTCTGTTTTTCAATGAGGTTGGATCCAAGAGGAAGTCTAGTGCTTAGGGGAGGGAGAGGAAGAGGGGTCAAGAGCTCTGGGAGTCCCTTCCTAAATGTCCATATTTCCTGGGCAATGTTCTTCCAGGGAAGACCTCTTGAGAGGGTCTCAGAGCCTGCCCTGCACACTGATGCCAGCCCTCTGTCTCAAGCCCAGCCAACCTGTGGCTCATGGTATTGGGGAAGGAGCATCTTGTTTCTTAGTGGTCTCTGCAGGCCAGCTCTGTTCTCCCTCTCTGCCTGCCCTAGGGAACAGGGAAGGTGGCAGAGGGGTGGGAGGACCCTGCAGGCCTTGGATGATCCCCCCCCAAAAGGGGCTGGGACTCCTGGGCCATCACCCTCAGTCCAGGGGACTGTCTGCCAGCCTCACAGGCCTGGGCCCTTCCAGAGTCCCTGGCACTAAGGTGCAGATCATCAAGGCAGATGCCTCCGTGCTCCCCCACTGCAGCTCCTGACACCATAGGTGCCCTGGAGCCCGGTGTGACTCAGCCTGTGTTTGCTGGGTGGGTGTCATCAGCCCCTCCCTCCCAGGCCAGAACCTGAGAATGGGCCCAGGGTGCTGTGGAGATAAACTTCAAAAGAGCTAATCCCCTTCTCATACCCACCCACCCAACCCTATATTCCCTCTGTGAAATCTACCTCAGAGTCGTCCCCTCAGAAAGACAGGGGAGCGGGAGGCTGGGGCCCCAGGCTGAGGTGGGAGCCTCCTGAGGGAGCCTGCTGCCCGCTATGAATCCACCCCTCACTTTGAGCCTCCCTGGGGCCTTGGCCAGCTGGTGGCAGTGAAAAACCACTGTCCATCGAATGTGCCATTCTGATCCAAATCTTCCAGGCCCTCTCCCCACACCCCTCCTTCCTCTGTGCAGGGGGTGAGGGGTGTGTCAGCAGGGAAGGGGCCAAGGACTCCAGAGATGCATTGGTGTACCCTGAGTGTTCCCCAGGGAGGGGACATGGAGAAGGGGGCTGAAGAGGGGAAAGAGGGCTCTGTGCTCTCTGAACAAGTTGAAAGTCCAAATAAAACTTACCTGTTCCATCTGCGCTCAGCCCGTGCTTCCATGGGTGGGAGGGGCCTTGACCCTCACTTGGGAGGCCTTGGGAACTGTCTTGGGAACCATAGCCACTGTGGAGCTGGTACTAGCAAGTGTGCATGGCCCATGTTCTGTGATTCTGTTGATCATACTGGCTGCAGGTCACAAATGGCTTATGTCTTCATTGGAACAGGTTTGAAGGAGCCACCCAGCCCTGTCAGGTGCAAGGGCTCTTGAATTTTTCTCCTCAACACATCTGGCGGTTCTGGAGCTCCAGGGCCATTTTCATTGATCAGTTGCCCTTGTTTTTCTCAGACATCTCAGAATGCCAGGAGCCAGGCTGGGACATCACAGAGGAAGATAACCTAAATCCCATGTCTTTGTGGGTCTAAGACTAGGAAAGGGCCAGGCTTCAGGCTCAACTGCTACCTCAAACACCCCAAACTTGGGAGGTTAGAGCTGGGTCATGAACTTTTGCCCCAGCCTTGGCTGTGCCCTCTGAAGAAAAAAGAAAAACATGAGTCTGAGTTTTTCATTCATTGACTCTGATTGTCTTTCATTTCCATAAGATTTCCCCCCCAATGGTCACTTAAAAGCAGAAGAGCAGACCTGGGGAGGGCTATGGGTGTGGCTTAGTGGTAGGACTCTTGTCCAGCATGCACAAAGGCTCTGGTTTGAATCCCTGGTACTGGAAAGAAAATACAGATGTAGGGTATGGTGGTGCATACCTTTAGTTCCAACACTCAGGAGGCAGAGGTAGACTGAGTTCAAGGCCAGCCTGGTCTGCAGAGTAAGTTCCAGGACAGTGAGGACTACAAGAGAAACCCTGTCTCAAAAAAGCAACAGCAACGAGAGCGAGGAGGAGGAGGAGGAAAAGGAGGAGGAGGAGGAAGAGGAGGAAGAAGAAGAAGAAGAAGAAGAAGAAGAAGAAGAAGAAGAAGAAGAAGAAGAAGAAAGAGGGCCTTTGTTGATCAGTGGTTGAGGTTTGGCTCTAGAACATGGCAGCTGTCCCTCCACACACATGCTACAGCCAGCAAGGGCCAGCCTCTTCAACTACCATCTGCAGTCAAGACCTTTGTGAGTGCCAGGAAAGGTAGACCACCCTGCAGATGTGCCTCACAGCCCTGAGAGAGAAGATTCTAGAACATCTGATATTTGAGTGCTTAGTGGCGCCTGTGGCTCCGGATGCACTGGCTAGTGTGACAGAGACTAAGGGATGCTGTGGGGCCCGGAAGGCCAGGGAAGCCTGGAGAAGAGAGGCAGAGGCAGGCCTGAGAGTGAGCTGGCACAGGGCACAGGCAGACCCAGTAACCTAAATGAGGGAACCCAGGTATCCTGTCTGGACTTGCCCCTGTCACCAGGGTGAAGAGAGCATGGGGACATAGGGAGCAGACTCTGGCAGCTTGTCTCCCTGATTTCTAGGGACTCGGGAAAGGCTCGGGTACAGGGCAGAATGTTGCTGGGGGCTGGACGAGAAGGTGGGGGAGGGAGGCCGTGTGCCTCCATCTAGGTCCCCTCCATAGCCACAGACGTCCATCTGACTCTCCTGAAAGGAGGGAGAGCTAGGGAACCTGCAGCCCTCATCCCTCCACCTCTGCAGCAGGACTGCGAGCACACCAGAGGGCAGCAGGAGGGGGGCTGAGAATTGCAGGGTTCAGGGAGCAAGGAGTTGCCATGACAAGGCTCCAGGAAACAAAGTGGAAGATTGGAACAACTTTCACTTGAAGAGGTAGCGGCGAGACCCCTGAGGGGCTAGAAGACATTCCTGTGGACCGCTTGCGGTTCCCAGCACAGACCCAAAGAGCACGTGTAGGGCTGAGGGTGAGGACTCAGCAGAGACCAAGTCAGCCAGGGCATGTCTCTGTCCATCATTCTCTCCAGTTCTGCCCTGCCCTGCAGGATTTCCCCACCTGGAGGTCCCAGGTCATGCAGACCTTGCCTCTGTCCTAGGTCCATGTAGGCTGTGTCAGGTGATGGGGGGGAGGGGGGACTCTTTGTAAAACCTGTGGCCTCTGTTGAGGAGGAGCTGCTTGACAATAAAAGGAGGGGTGGGGTGTGTGGAGGAGTGAGCCATGTTAATGAGAAACACCTCACCCAGCTGATTAGGGCTGCTGAAGACAGGGAGTGGGGTTTTCACTCCATGAAGTCTTTATAAGGGGGAGGGGCGGCAGGCCAGTCTCGCCTTCAACAAGAATATAAACAGCAACTTTGGCCACCACAGAAAGAACTGAGATCACAAAAGAGAATGAAGCATTAAAAGTAAAGAGGGGGTCCTCAATGGGAGAAGCAGGGTGTGTGACTAGCCAAGGCCAAGAGACACCACTGGTACTCTTCTGTTCTTCCTCTACTTCTACTCCTGTGACCTGGAGATTCTCAGTGGTCCACAGAGCTCCCCCCCTCCCCCGACTCCTGTCATCCACAGGGTCCCATGGGATCTCATTCCATCTGCAAGGTATTCTGCTGGCCCTGCCTGGGAGCAGCCTGGGAGGGAAGCTCTGGTTTGAGGTCCTGGTCTGTAGCACTCACCAGAATCTATGCAGTTGCCAGGACACAACTCTATGTTCATGGCCTGAGGCCTGGTGGGACTCACTCTGCGCCTGCCCTGTCCTCTGAGGATGCAGCTTCAACCTGCAGCTTTGGCCACTCCCCCTGCCACTTTGGCCAAGGGCAGAACTACTAGGTACTTTTTTCAAAGATGTTCCAGGCTACTGTGTTAGTGTGGGCATAGGGGAGGCAGGGAGGAGCTGGGGGACAGGATGGGTGTCACCAGCACCTCCAGCACCTCCTCATTTGCATTGCCACTGACACCCTTCTTGACCAAGAAAATGGAGCCAGAAATAACAAGGGGGGGGAGTGGTTCCCTTGGGGGGATGACTTTGAGGGGGCTCTTTCCCTGCCTCCAACTCTCCCACGGTGCTGGGGACAGGAGGTCAGCCTCACAGCTGGCCTGGGGGAGAGGAAGTTCACCCACTGTTGCTCATCCACCCTCGGACTAAGCAGACACCCCATCCCAGCCTCTCGCTGCTCTCAACTCCACACACCCCAGCTCTACTCCACATCCCTACCCTGTGAGCCCTGTCTCTGAACCCCTCTTGCTACTGTGAAGTCCTACAGCTGGCAAGTGGCCCCTGTCCATATTCCCCAGTCTGTGGCCTGCCTTCCCCAGTCAGACCCAACCTTGCCCTGAGCCTGACTTTCCCATTGTCCATGAGCAACACAAGAGTCCTCTTTTCCACACAGAAAACAGTCCACCAATATCAGCAGAGTGTATGGTTAAAATCTATGGCGGGAGATAAATCAGAGCCCAATGTAGACTCCCAGCCATTCAGGCCCAGAGTTCTGATGGAGAATATCTTTATTTAAATAAGATCTCCACATATGCAGCTTTGCCTTCATGAGCTCCTGTTGGCCTTGAACGTGGTAGGAAGAACTCTACCATTGAGTTGCCATCCCAGCCAGCCAGTTTTCTTTCCTTGACCTAAAGATTGTGGCTTAAACCCTCACCAACACCTTTGATGTCCAAATTGTGAGCATTAAATTTACTTCTCCAAAGGGGCAGCTACAGTGGGGGGCGGTGCACAGGAGACAGTGGGGGTGGGGGGATAGGCCTCTTCCTGGCAAGAGGTCCTGGGCCCTGGGAGGGTGAGAAGAGGAAGGTACAGGGAGAGCAGAAGGGCTGGGCAGGGAAACCAGGTCGTGAGAGACAGCAGGGAGAGCTGTGAACGCACTGTGGAAAGGAGTGAACAATGAACTGAGAACTCCCTTCACTCCCCCCTCCCAAAGATGCTATTTTGGGGGAGAGAATATATGCAGTGCAGGGGCAGTGGGGGAGGTTGCCAGCTTCCCCAGGGGTCAGCCAGCTGCTTGCTGCTTTTACTCTCCTAACCATCTTCCTTAGCCTTGGTG